GGGGCGAAACTAAAATGCATTTTGTGGACAGTTGCGGGTGGCGATGAACAGTGGTCAAAGCCTCTGGTTTCAGAGTGGTGCGATGATTTGATGGCCGTGCGCATTGGTTCCGCACCGCCTATGGTGGGATGAGTAAATTGCCATCCTCGACGGGATGCATGGCTTGGTCACTGCCTGTTCACCCCAGTGTGCTATGGTGTGGAAATGGTGATCCAAACCGATGTGGAGCCTTCCCGGGAAGCGTGCTTGGCCCCGCGCCAATCTCACTCAGAGACTGGGGGCGAGAAAAGCGAGGGCGGAGGAAAAGAATCCAAATGCGGATTTCAATACCACGCCCCCCGCGAAAGGATTCTCAACGTGTAAGCTCCCACGGTGGTTTGGAGAGGCAGTGGTTTCATGGTTGACTTGCAGCTTTGCTTTCTATTCGAGCACTGACACCAGCACTGCGTGAGGGTGAACAGGAGCCTCCGCCCTTTTACGCGCACATTTTCGCAGTCTGCCCTTCAATCACGGCAAAACTTTTTTCGACAGCCACTGGCACAGGGGCAAGGCAAACTGCCTTTTCGCCTGCTGGAGCAAATTTGGGTCCGCTTCGCGCCAAGGCGAGCCCTGTGCTGCGATGTCGCCCTTGTGGCATTCCCTTTGCGGGCCGACGGCCGCCCACAGTCCCCACTCGCGAGGACGGGCTCCACGCCGCGCGGCGCCGCAAGGAGGCTCGGTACCAAGGGACCCCAACGCTTGGTAGTCCTTGCTTGCGAGATTGGCGGCAGGGGGGGCGCGGAATGCCTGACATGTCCTGGCCCTTGCCCGCCTCCGCGCCCCCCAGTTTGGCTTTGTTTGCTTCAGAAACGACAATTTCGTACCCGGAGCAACAAGTCATCCAGCTTGCACTGGCGCACTACGACCAACCGCCGGCATTTGGAAGCGTACAGATCCAACTGGATTGAGGCCTCCTACAGATCTTGCTGCCAGGTCTGTGCTCAAGTGAAGTTGCAAGGCCCTTTGTCCACGCAAGACGGTCTGTTACGACCCGTGTGCTGTGGTGTCTTTTTTCTTGGCGCCGGGTCGAAAGCTTAATTTTGCCGCGGGACGCAGGTTTGTTTTTTCGAGCTTTTGGTTACGGCTTTGGGGCTCTGCAAGCTCTCGGGCGGCAGCCTGTAAACAAAGGCCAGTGTTTTTTGGGATTGAACGCGTGTTCTTTCTGTTGTTGTGTGTGCTTCTTTTTGTTTTGGGTTCCTATTCGGTGAGGCGAACAAAATTGAAATTTGCGATACTTTTTTCCTTGAGCTAAGCGGTCGTATCTCGACTTGTGCGTGTCGTGTTCGATGAACACTTTGCCTTTTAGCATGTGAGTGCTCTGTGCATGTGTCGCACCAGGCATCTGAGTTAGAACTCTATGCCTAGTCCATCAAACCATGAACAAAGTGATCGGTTTCATGCATCATATCACTCATATCGCTCATTAAAGTCCCATTGCGATTTCGATGGCCATGAAGCCAATGGCCTCCATCTTCAAAAGCTCCTCTCGAGCTTGAAGGTCGGCACGATGCCCGGTTGTAATTGTAATTTCGACCCATGGCGTCGTCGTCGGCCTCCATGCTCTCATCGCCCGATGTGGGTTCAGATTCAGCCATAGGGGCTGGTGATGCTGCTGCTTCAGGTTCTGCTGGTTCCACATATACGATGCGTCCACCATCCAAGACGATGATCGCTGTTGCGCCACTCAATCCTGGTTCTCCTGGGCCCACACCCATGTGGGCCATCATTGCCCCAGCAAGTTGCTCTCCACGTTCCTTTTGGATCGCTTTCATTTTTCTCAACTTTTTTGCCTTTTTGTCAATCTCAAAACATCGGTCCACCTTCCCAAGGTAGTGCAAGCTCTGCCACTCCAACACTTGCAGTGATGGATCCTCAACATGTCCATCAGTATTGATGAGTCCTCGATGCACTTTCTCCACGTAGTGAGCTGTCATGGAGTTTTCTCAAACTTGCTGTTCGACAGTGTCCCGCTTGTCACGTGCATCCATTTCGATCCTATTCTGCACAAAGGAAACCTTCTTCTCCAATGCCCGCACCTTGTTCCAAAGGATCACGATGGCAAACACCAAGGAAACCGAACACCATCAGGAAAGTCATCCACTGGAAAGGGATCATGTAGCTCACCTCCACATAGCTCTCCTCAGGCTTCGAACTCGCGGCCAGTTCAAGACCGCTCAGAAAAATGAGCGATTGAGGTACTTGGCTACCTTCATGATCTTGCCCTTATTTATGTGGTTCTTCTCGAACTGCTGGTGTTCCTGTTCTCCAACTCGGCTTCCATCACCGTTCGTGGCGTGGCACCAACACAACAACAATCTCAGCCTCGACTTGGATAGGGGTTTGGTGCCAATGTCAGCCAAATGATTTGTTTCACTTCCATAGTGCCACCTGCCACTTTGTCCTGACACCAAAGAAGTTTCCCGCTCACATGACGGAGGCGTCCAGCACCACGCTTGTTGGCGATTTGCTCAGAGTTGTCCACCCAAGCGCACGTGGTGGACAGGGTCGCCTGTGAGGAACTCCAAGGCATGCTTGGTGCAGATGCCATCGCACGCTCCAGACACCAATGCGTGTAGTTCGCTCTCTGCCATGAAGGTTTTGCACATGTTGGGATGGCACCGGAATGATATTCTGCATTCGAGGCAATCGAAGTTCTGCCGCAGCTACTGCCTCCGATGCTGCCTTCAGTTCCCGCTCCTTGAGTTGGCTCACAATCCTCTGATAGCACTTCAGCCGGCGCCCAGACTGGTAATGCCGAAGAAAAGGGATGCCGCCCTCAGCTCTGTCAACCGGTTTGTAGCAGTCAATTGGATGTCATTCACAATCACATGATCAGGAAGTCCAGCTTCTAAAACAAGACATCCTTCTTGCCCATCAACTTTTCCTTGTCCAGCGGCCGCGCCACCGGCCATAACCACTGCAGCTTCGACCACTGCAGCTTCGACCTCTTCCTCCGCAGGCTGAGGTGCCTCCATAGAATCTCATGCTCCCTCAAAGCAATGGCATCTTTCTCCGCCTGTGCCACTTCAAAGCCCATATTTTCCGTGCTCATTTCTTCAGCAGTGAGGAGGGTCAAGATCATAGAGCTGCCATTTGTCCTCGACGTTCTCGATCAGCTCCTTTTGGTCAACCAGCCATGAAGGTTTTCACACATCTCATAGAGGTGCCACTTGCTGTCCTCTTCCAATCCACCGTTGAAAGAATCTCTCCAATATATTGGGGTGTCTGCAGTTTCTCCGCCAAGTGAACTCCAAACCACTTGTCCTCCTCCTGCTTCCAGCCCACCTGATATCTGGCTTTTGACTCAGGTTCTCAAGCAACTTCGCCTCCAGCACCCGCATCATCATGGGCGCCTGAGGCTCTTCAACCACAGCTCGCAAGTGTGCAGTAGCAATGAGACTCCGGTTTTGCAGCTGAAGTGGTGCTCTCACAACACTAGGGCCTTGACCAAATGTCATAGCATGTTGGCTCCCATTCATGCACCCGGCGTTGATGTTCCAGCCTGCTTCCATCAGCTTGCCATAGGAAATGATCAGCTGGTTGATGCCATCAGAAAAATGGGTTTTGTTATAGATCTGCTCCTCCTTGTTGTGCTCGGTCTTGAAGCTGAAGCAACCCTGCTTGTACCCCCTGATTGCAATGGGCACTCCTTGAGCATCTTGTAGTCGAGGTGCTCCTTCATCCAATTCAGTTCCAATGTCCAAATAGGAACTTGGCAGGATTGTAGCATCAGCTCCCGAGTCAATGATCACGCTCACGGGATTCCCCTCTTCCATGCCATTGCACTCCTTCTTCACGGCCCTGATGTTGTATGCCGCCAGGACGTCATTCGCATGGGGCTCATTCTCTTCAGCGATGGGAAAAACTGAGCCACCCTGATCTGCTTGTTGTCGATGTTTGACTCTGACATAGGCCTGAGATCAAAAATCATGGGTTCATTCTCGAATGCGGCTTGTGAAATTTCCTCAAACCGCTTTATTGTGCCAGACTTCCAGCTCGTACTCTGGCTGCTTGTCGTGGTGCCATGCTGGCCTTCTCAGAGCATGGCCTCCGACGTTGGTCATGGCGGACCACTGGAAGAGAGCTTGGTGACCGCTTGAACCAGATGGGGGTGACGGTGCACTTCATCGACTGCCGTGCTCCATGGCAACCAGGATGTGCAGCCCACGCGTGGCCTGAATTTCCACAAGGTTTTTGCCAAAGTGCAAGATGCCAGCTTCCCTTCTTTCGGGCGACCTGGTGGACCCCATCCCTGTGCCAGCTTCCGCTTCAGAAAATGTGCATCGGAGTTGGCAGATCCGGGACATGGCTTCCCAAGCTTGGATGCGGGCACTAGATGCAGTCAAGCGAACTTTTTAAGACACCAACCCAGACAACAGATCAGACTTGCTCGCTGATGGGCTGCAGGCATTTTCATCCAAGCAACCGGAGGATGTGGATCAGTCTGAGGGGATCCTGCTCAAGGTTCCACGAAACATGTTCGTCCAACTGCTTCAGGGGAGGGCTTGGGGCGAGCTTTGTCGAAGGAGTTCATCCTTGAGATGATCAAAGACGACCTGACCGATGGTGCCCAGGTGGATGGCGACGAGAGGCCAAAACCAGATCCCTCAACAAGATGGAACCAGCAGCACCCATTTCTGAGCCTCAGGATCACTCTGAACCTGAGGACGAACTCATGGATGCCTGTTCAACTGACCCAGAACAACTTCGACCAGCGTTCGAGAGACCACAGGATGAGATGAGTGCACAGCTTGGCACTGAGGACCTTGTGGAGAACACACCCGAGCAGAAGAAAAAACATCCAAATCGATGAAGGACGAGGAGGGGCATTGACGGCCAGTTTTGGACCCCCTGTGAGGCATCCAGGGGATGAACCAGCACGACATCATCCCTACCCTTTTTCAGCTGCATCGCCTTCTCTACCTCAACGTCCCGGAGCTCGGAACTCCTACTTTTTTGAGGTGGCGACTTTCGACCAAGAACGAACTCGAAGAGCTCCTTGGACCGCTGGCTAAGTGCTATGTGGGGGTTTGGCAAAATACTTACGAACTTCACACTTGACCAAGCTGAAGGATCCTATAGCCACTCCGACCACTGCATCTACATCACCAAGATGAAGTTGGCTCCTGGTCACATTGACTTTGACAAGCTCAACAACCCAGCTCATCGGAAAGCTTTCCTCCATTCTCGAGTCAGAGGAGTGCAGTCGTTGATCGACAACAAGGCCATCAAGATCCTTTCACCTGAGGAAAGCAGAATCCTCAGGCGGGACCACCCAGACTGTGTCTTGCCAAGTCACTATGTGGACCGTTGGAAGCCTTCAGGAGATGGGAAGTTCTCTACGCTGCCAGAGCATTTTGACGATCCTGGCTTCGAACCTTTGAGCCACCCAGGTCTGTCAGGAAAGTCGAGATGGCGCGTTGTTGGATGGAAAGACTAAATGGATTCATGCCAGTAAGTGCGGTGCTCCTACACCACTCTCTAGCAGCATCATGCTCTTCTTGCAGGTTGCAGATGGTTGCAGCGACGAGAGGATGGACCGGAAAGGTCGAAGACTGCAAAGCAACTTTGCTGCAGAGTTTGCCGGCTACGAGGAAACAATGCTTATGTTGTTCCATGCCACCTGGGGATGGAGGAGCTGGTGCAGTTTGAAACTGAGGCCAAGGGTACGGCTACCGCTACGACGGCTGCGTGCTCCATCATCGGCATCGGCATCATTCGGCATCTCATGCGCCTGACTCACCTTAGTCAAGCGAGACATGGTCTTCACAACGAATTGCGAATCAACACGACTTCGTCGCACTCTCCCCAGCTCTGCTCGTTGGCGGCCAAGTTGAAGATTGCTTTGGAGTCTAGGATGGCCACGCTCAGAGGATCTCGGTAGGTCTCGCTCTCCTCTGCGATGATGGAGGGTGTCCCTCTCAAGCCGCCATCGTCACACTGCTCAAGTTCAGCCCTCACGTCATAGTTGGAATTGAGGAGGCTTTTGAAGCCTCCGGAAGCAGTAGCCGGCGAAATACTTTCCCACAAGTTCGAAGAGCCTGGTCTTCCAGGCAATCAAGGACACAGGAGCTTGTTCACCTCGATTCACCTCTTGCGTAACGATCCCTTGGATCCAGCAGTGTTGAGGTTCAGTCTTACCAATCGTGTCGAAAGAGCTGTCGCTGATCAACACGCGCCTGATCAGTTCCTCCTTGAAAGGATGGATGCGAAGGGCCGCAACCACTGCTTTCAGCCTGGCAACAATTTTGTTCACCTCCCAGGCATCCACAATGGTGGGTTTCGGAAACATGCCTTTCCTCGAAGGGCAGATTCCTCCTCCTCGGTGTGTTGATGCATTCTTAGTTGGATGCTCTTGGCATTCTTGACCAGACGACAGGCTTCAGGCGGTTCTCTATAAAACCTGCCATCGTCAACTCAAAAGAAAAATCATCTAGTTGGCGCAAACGCCGTCGGTTTTTTTGCTGGAGGTCCGCCGCTTTGCCAAACCTCGGACGCTTTTCAAGCCATTCCATGCGCAATCAGCCCCTGAGCTCTGGCGCCAGCAGTTTCATTCTCCCGGCTTCTCGTAGGCCTCGAAGTGGATCGAGGAGACGACGAAGAAGGTCCAGTAGGAGTTGACGAAGTCCCTGCCAGAGGCTTCAATGGCGCGGGGGGAGCACTCTTGAAAACAGCTCACTACAAGCTTCAAGAAGAAGCTGAGGCCCTAGAGGCGGAAAGCAGTCAGTCCACCACCTGAAATCCAAGTACTCTAAACTCTAAAAAAAAAATCCCGGCAAGAGACCCCAACCAGTGTGTGTGAGGTCTAGTGGTGTAGCAGCAGAAAGTCCAGAGATCTATGTCTATATAGGTGAATAGGTGGATAGAGGTGATGGTGGTGATGAAGGTGGAGATCGTGGTGGTGGTGGTGGTGGTGATGGTGGTGGGCTTTGTTGACTTTGAACTGCAGTTTTCGTGGCAGTGGCAGTATTTTGTGGACCTTGAAGCGTGCATTTCGCGGCAGGTGCAGTACTTTGTGGACCTTGAAGTGCAAATTTCGTGGCAGATGCAGTGCTTTGTGGACCTTGAAGTGCATCCGCAGTACTTTGTGGACCTTGAAGTGGGTACTTTGTAAACCTTGAGGTGCAGATTTCGTTGCAGGTGCAGTACTTTATGTGCCTTGAAGTGAAGATTTCGTGGCAGATGCAGTCGTTTGTGGGCCTTGAAAGGCAGATTTCGTGGCAGCCGCAGTATTTTGTTGACCTTGAGTGCAAATTCCTGGCAGGCGCAGTTGTTTGTGGACCTTGAAGTGCAGATTTCGTGGCAAGCGCAGTATTTTGTGGACTTTGAAGTGCAGATTTCGTGGCAAGCGCGGTACTTTGTGGGCCTTGAAGTGTAGTACTTTTCTGAAAACGAGCCACGTGCACCGGTCACAACATCAGAGCACGTCGAAGATTACCACTATGTCGCTGGCCACGAAATCTACACATCGAAGTAAAGCCGCTCCGATCCCTTGCGCCTGTCACGAAAAGTCGGCTTGGGACCACACAAGCACGAGGCTTCCGTTGCGCCTGCCACGAAAATTGACCACCGCGCCCGAGAATGCGCACGGCGCTACAACGAGAGCGCAGTCGCGACAAGCGCCCGCTCCAGCCACCCAGATTTTGCGAGCCTGCGCAGTCGAAATGCACTTCGAAGATTTCGAGAGGCGTGACTTTGTACTGTAAATAGCAACGAACTAGCTGCACACGAACGCGTGACACCTCGATAAGATGCCGGCCCTCAACTCTTACCGGAAGAGCCCCACAGTGACCACACTGTTTGGGGAACAATGGGCTGACGAAGGCACAAATGGTCTTGAGGTCCTTGAGAAGACACTGGGCTGATGTCGCTTTCTGTTGGCCTTGAGTCATCCAGGTTGCGCATGATGGAAAAGGTGCCACCTTTGAGGGGTTGACTACGGCCTGTTGTTCAACACCTCACAAGCTCTTCAACAACGTGTTTGGGACTGGCTGTACGCTGGGCCAACACTGGGAGTGCCGACGCTGCCTTGTATCTGCGAGCGTTGCCGCAAGTATTCACGAAAGCTAGCACCAGCTAGCTGGAGTTGTCCTTGCTTTAGCAAGTGCGGGGCTGGAATCCTCGGGATCGCCGAATCACGTGAAAACTTCATATGTAGGGCCCCCCCCTCCCCCCCTCCCCCCCCCCCCCCCCCCCCCCCCCCCCGTGGGTTCAACTCCCCCCTCGGACGCCTCTACCTCTCGGGCATCTCTTATGGCATCCACTTTGGCTTAACTCCTCCGGGATACGGTGCAACAGATTCAACAAGCTCACATGTTCATGACATCGACATCGATAGAAGAAACCAAACAAATCATGCAAGCAGCTTTGTTTTGCCTTTGGGACACCTCTTGGGCACCTCTTATGGCATCCACACTGGTTCAACTCCTCCGTGGAGGTTTTGGGATACGGTGCAACAGATTCAACAAGCTCACAGGTTCGTGAACACATCGGATGCATCGAACAGTGTGGCAAAGTCCAGCCACGCTTCCTTAATTATCGGGGACTTCAATTCTAAGGTTGGCTGTGTCATTGCTGTTTGTGTGTCTTACATGTTCACAACGTTTTACCTCATGAGCATTTGCCTCACTCCGCTTGATGTCCCACCAGTCCGGATGCACCCCTGCTAGCTTTCGTCACCTACCCTCGGCCTCAAGTGTCCCATTCTGATCTGAAAAATCCTCTGGCTTTACATGCTCGCCCAGCACTTCCTCATAGTTCTCATTCGTGAAGGTGTAGGCGAAATAAGGACAGTGTCTTCTGGAGCCTGTGCCCATTTTTTTGAGCGTGTGTGTCAGAACTTTCACACCCGACATACATGTCAAGACTCCGCTTCGCTCGACAGTGGCCCAAAGTGACCTTTCGCTTGGAAAAAGGTCCGCGGCGTTCTTTTTGTCATGGTAGCGGAGCCGAGCAAAGCCTCGGCTCCAGCCGCTCCATCCCGCCGGATGCCAGGGATTTTGATCCTGGTGCTGAACCTGATGAAGATAGGCGGAGATGTTGAGCTCATGGACGACTTCATGAACGAGGAGGTGAATGCGGTGAACTTCCCCTACAAGGACATGGAGAACGAGCAGGACATGGTGACGAAGGAGTGGATGAGCGGGGATTGGTGCCCTGCAGATGACGGCCTTAGTGGTGGCCATGACAGCACGATGGACTTTGAGATGAACTCTATGAGGTGGATTGGGACCACCAAGATATCGGCTGTTGAATGTCCTTTGAGTGTTGGCCAGCTGAAGGTTGGATCCATGGGTGGAGGTGAAACCTCTACAGTCGAAGATTGGCACTTTGACTTTTCGTGTTTGGAGGACCTCAACGCACAGACAGTTCAAGAGTTGAGCTTGAACTCAAAGCCTGTCCAGGATTGGGGCTTGGACTACACGAATGAGAGCTGTGAAAGCTTCATGCAAAGCAAGTCCACAGGAATGGTCACTAGCTACTTCCTTAGGAATGTCAAAGTGGCTGAGAATTTCATCGGTGCCTTGGTTTTTGACCTTGAACGGCATTCAGTGATCCTGCAATGGATGGTGGAGAACTTTGGATGGGAAGTTTACATGTTCTTGAGCCTCTTCTTGGTGCTAGGAGCTGAGATGATGCGACGATCCCAACAGCAATCGAGGACCTTGGTGAGAAGGCATCATGAGCCCAGGGGCCACTTGAGCAAAGCACGAAGGTGGAATGGAGGCCTTCGACAACGTTTTGAATTCAGAATGAAGACGAGAAGTCTGATCTTTTTGTCCTTATGGACTTCTGGCCAAGCTATGGATGGAGAGCAAGCTCAGAGGATGTTCAATCATCTTTTGCAGATGACTGAGGCTACGATGACTGCGGCACGGTCCTCAGCTATGGTGGCTGAGAAGTTGAACAAGAAAGACAGCCATGGCAGCTTCAGCGAAGCAAGCAAAGTGCTGAGAGCACCTGAAGCTTTTGAAGTGGATGATCCATTGAAGTTTGTCAGTTGGTCTGACAATTTCAAGAACTGGCTGACCTATGGGGACCATAGGTATGTGGAGCTCCTCAAGCAGGTGGAGGAGTTGGATGAGCCGTGCACTTTGGCAGAGTTTGCATCAGATGAGGTGATCGAGCTTGGTCATATGTTGTTTGCCATTTTGGCATCCTATGTGAAAGGTCCAGCAGCCCAATTTGTGAAAGCAGCATCAACAGATCGCAATGGGTTCAGAGTGTGGCAGCAGCTGCGCAATTTGTACTTTGCGAGGGCACGACCTCGAGTGATGGCCATTGGTCAAGCCATCATGGGTCTGCCACAATTCCGAGCTGGACGAAGCATGATGGAAAACCTCTTGCAGTTAGATTTGCTCTTGGATCAGTACAGAGTTGCCTCAGGCCATGA